GTGGGCAGCCCGGCTGCTGCTGCCACCAGCGCTGCCCACCCTGGACACCTGGGTTCCATCCACACACCACCCCCTCGGCTGCTGGCACATGCCAGTTCCCCGTGGGGACAGCGTGAAGGTGTACTTCTCACGCGGCATCTCTCCTGCCCAGGTCCCTTTGGCACAGAGCAGAAAACAGCCAGAGCGGCGCCAGGTGGATTCTCTGCTGTCTAATACCCGGGTTGTGCTCGGCAGCAGGAGGGAGGGTGGGAAGGCAGGCGGGAAGAGGGGGGGAACATATTAATTTTCATTGCTGACCCCATCCTGGCACAGATTTCCTCCCAAACTCCTGCTCAGCACGAGCTCAGCAGCTCCTCGCCCTATGGAAATGTGCCAGGGGGAAGGCACAATTTGGCGGCACGACCACTTTGGGGGCCGGATTCAGCATCAGCTGCCAGAGGAGGACCCCGGCCCCGCACGGGGCCTGATGTTCAAAGGCTCCCTTCGGGTGAAGCTTGTTTCCTCTGGAAGACGAAACGGGCCGGCACCCCGAGGAGTGCTGTCCCCCTGCCAAGCGCCTTCCTCCCCCGGCCCCGCTGCCGCCCCACGGCCAGGCCCGGGCGGGCACAGGGGCACCGCCCCTGAGTGCCCCCCAAATCAGCTCCGTGCCCACCTCCTGGGGCCATGCCAGAGGCTGGCATGTTGCCCCCTGGGTATTGGGGCACTCAGAGGAATGTCACATCCCAGTCCAGTCTGGTCACGGCGTGGGGGTAGGGGGGAGATTTTGTTCCCCCTCTGCCCCCTGTTTGCAACCAAACCCCTTGCAATAACAGGGATGCAGGTGGCTGTGCTGCCCCGTGCCACCCTGTTGTCTCTGTGCCACCCTGCTGCTCCGTGACACGGCCCTGCAGGCAGGACATGGGACCTCGGGGGTGCCCCGTGCTAGGCAGCCCCAGCCACCGTGCCCGCAGCCCTGGCATGGCCCTAGGGCTGTGGTGAAGGCCAGTGGTGGGCTCTCTCCTTCCTCCTCCTCCTCCCGCTCGGGTTATTTTTCCACAAAGGCCTTTTGAAACACAAACAGCCCCGGGACTCCGGCCTCCGCCGCGAAGCAGCTGAACAATCACAGTGCCGGGCGGGCAGGGAGCGGGCACGGGGAGGGGGGGCCTAGCGGGGGGCACCCGGGGACACGGGCACGGGCCAAGGCCGTTATGTCCGTCCTGGGCTCCTGTGCTGCGGGCATCGGCCATGCCACAGCCCCCCGGGCCGTGCCAGGCTGCGGTGCCCGCTGCGCCCCGGCGATGCTGCGC